ACTTATCTGATGGGAGGACTTATCTGTGAGATTTAGGGTAGATAACAAGCCACAGCGTAAAGAAAGCTGCAGCTCTACGAGCACGATACGTAATAGATTCATTGAAAGTATTTTCAGCATGCTCCTTGAAGGTCTGAGTGAAGATATCAGACGCCTGGCCATAATTGTAGGAGACAATTCAAAGACTGCTTTGGAGAAACACCTCAGACTGACCAAGGAAGCGATGTCTAGACAAGTAGCCGCCGCAGACTCCATCAAGAAGGACTACGATTACCTTAAAGGCGAATTACGCACGTCGTCAGGTGGAGAACCACATGAACAAGTCATTACCACAAGCGCATTACACCTCACTGCTAAAGTGATCAAAGAACGGTACCTCGCCTTATGTACGCGTTACTCACTCCTTCACAAGTGCTACGCTTTCCTTCCTGGCCATCGAGAACAACAAACGAGTACTTCGGAAACAAGTATGCAAAGATTTGACGACTTGCTGCAGGAAATGGACGCACAAATGAAAGTAATCGAGGACCTTGTCAAAGAGACAGAGAAGAGACGACACAATGCAGAGGTGAATCTTTGCCAAACACACTGTAGGTCCGAAGCGGACAAACACATTATAAGGATACTTTATGACACGCTGACTAGACGAGACGAGGAGATCATCAGCTTGAGTACTATAATTGCCACAATGACTTCTATGCAGCAATCCCCTGTACAAAGTACAAGTGTGGAGTGCCAAGCAACGCCCTCTGTAACCACTGTTGGATCTCAGACGGAACCATGAGTGAATGAACAGACCTTCTATGGCAGCAAAGCAGTCATATACCGCTAGGAGAGGCCGGCCAAGACCAAGAGAAGAAGTTGGTCTCATTAGTTGAAGAGACAGAAGATATTTCAAGGAATCCAAAAAGTCTATGGAATGAAGAGGATAGTTTAACGAATCTGAAGAACCTATGGATGACACAAAGCATGTTTTACTTAAAAGGAGCAGAGAAGCCGGAAGCCCCATCGAAAAAATGATGGTGAGGGCGAATAAATGCGGAAAGAGCAATGAGGATGCATGATTTACCAAAAGCACGTCTAAGTCGCAATCTAAGTAGATAGAGCAGGGCGAGTGCTTATCTTGGGGCTTCAGGCGGTGCCGGCTCTTCTAAGCCGGGTAACCTTCAGGAGGGACAATCCGGTAGCCGCCGCCATCAAAGGATCTTCTGCAAAATAACTAACAAAAATGACCTCACTTTTGTTGCCTCTGTAATGCAAATTGCCTGCTCAATTCTGTTGTTCCTTGTTAATGTTCAGGTTGCTTCTATGAAAAATTTGACCAAGTCTGTGTCCACAGCAAGAGCCACGCGGCAATCAGCAGCCTAGCCCTTCGGACCTGGTGGTGGCAATTGCCAAAAAAATTCAGAGACATGCTGTACTGGAGCAAAGACACATTTTCAATACTCATTGCTACAAATCGCTTCATACAACCTT